AATAAAATGAAAATAGTACTAGCATCTCCCGATTTGTTCGCCTCTATTTTGTAACAAGTAAGTTATTATTTTGGACCGGCCCAAATAGCCCAGACCAAATGTCGCAGGCGGGAAAAATGGCGGGGTGGCAAATATTTATAATACTATTTGCCGTTTCCAAAAAAACACGAAAACAGAGAAACGAAGCGCTACTCCGATAGTCTGATAATAACAGAATCGATCTGCTATGTTGCTCGACATCCTCTTCCCGATGTCCCCGTTGTATCTATGATCTACATCTGCTGTTGGTCTTTCTCCTTCATCGACAGGTAACATTTCGTCTTATTACTCTAGTTTATATTTAGGGTTTGCAGTCTTATACCCCCAAATGATCGATAATGCACATAAAGTGCAGTTCCACCCTCTAATGTATACTATTTATCTCTCTGTTTTGTTGTTTTTTGGTATTGTGAATTCAAACAAGGTTTGATTTAGTGTGTTTTGTCGTTTGTGTTCATCGTGTTCCATGTTTACTAGGTATTTGGCAATTTAAATATGATAAATTATCAATTTGATGATGATAAAGTGGAGCTGGTCAACACACGGGATTTGATCATGCTACATTTTCATTAGTTAAGACTTAAGAGGCCAAAAGAATCTGCGTTTTGATTGAAATTCAAAAGTTATACCATATATGACCAATAAAGGATGCAAAATTTGTATGAAGTTGCATATAGGACACGAACACAAACTTGGTAGAAATGAAATGGTAATAATGCTAAACCCCTAAATATTGGAAAAGGGACATGTATGTTCCACAAAAGTAACTCAGTGGGTGCCTATAGGGTGTCTGTATATCGTATAGACGGAAGATTTCATGATTTACAAACATTGCTTGATCACTACATGACCTGTACATGTATAATGAGTTAGAAAAAAGATAACACAACGAAAAAAACTACTATCCCCTGAAACTTGTGTATATTTGTTTTATCAGCAAACTGTTCACACAAAAAAAAACCCTACTATCCCCTGAAACCTTTGTAAAATTTTTTATTAGCAAACTGTTTAACACAATGAAAAAAACTATTATCCCCTGAAACTTGTGTATATTTGTCTGATTAGCAAAATGTTCAATAATTTGAAGGACCATTTTAAGTTTCATTCATATACTATAATGATCATCATATTTTGGTTGTTGATGAGCACATATATGATCTATTAATAGTTTACTACACCTTGTATTTCTATATACCAGACTTCCAGTATTAGTCCATGTAACACTTTTGTTGCAGGATAGAGACTTTTTACAATGATTAAGTGATCCCAATGTTTGTGTTTGTATTTTGCAGTCCAGTGTTTGGAAGTAATTAATCTTATATTATAATCAGGTTTTCTTGGAGTAGTAATTAATTTGTTAAGATGGCAGATGATGATCATCCAGCAGCCAGTAAGGGTGCAGGTGGATATACAATTGATGTAAGAGCAGCATGGAAAGGTGATTAAAGTTAATGTTTTTTCATTGGCGGGAACACAAAGATGAGTTCTGATGCTTTTGCAGTAGCCACCCCACCTCCTTCTGATGAGCTTCAGCTTTCAACATTTGGTTACGAGCTCCCTGAAACAATAATGGTTTTCTCCAACAAACAGATTCATTTTGTTATGCAGTCAGAACTGCTTGATGCTGTTAAAAAGTCTGCTAAACAAAGGTAAGGTACAGTGTTATTCCCTGGAATTTGCCCCTTAAAATATCATATCCTATTTTTGTTTCTTTCAACTTTTTCCTAATTAATGCATTGTACTTTGAAAAATCCATTACATTATATATTCAAAAAACTTCATTAGGACATTCTACATTAAAAAATATACCAACTTGTAGTGGTAAAATTTGTTTTGTATTTGTATATGGATGACATTGTTTTTATTGGGTAGTTTTCGGAAGAAATGAAAGTAGGATTTTGTAATAGGCATAAAAAGTTAAAAAAAGGAGTGTGTTGCAATTGTTATCCATTTCATTTTTTGGAAGTCTTTTCCAAACAACCATGCAATACAAGTGAAATGGCAATAGTTATTAGAGTACAGACAATAACACGTGGTTACCGGTTAATTAGTCTAGAATGATATAAGTATACATTACACAAACTTAAAAGAAATATGGTCACCTCAAAAAATATATATATTTACATTTATATTATGTTATATTCCCCGGTACTCAATGTATGTTGTTTCTAAGTTAATAAAATAATGATAGTTGATTCGTATACAATAGTCTTTCTTTTTCTCTATACACAACAACTGATGTTTTAAAATATTATATTTTATAACTTTGTAAATCATAAGTTGTTATGTATGGAGAAAATGAACACTTAAAATAGTTCCTAACAAATACTCTGTTAACCGGTTGAAAGTTAAGGAAATTGTGACAATAAAAGATTAGCTAATAACTTCTCTGTAATTTTATTAATATAATAATTACAAAATGGTAAATCTGATTGATAAATACAAAAAACTTGAAGTCAATAATAGTCACCAGCAAGAATTTTAAGTCAATAATGATGAGCATTTCAAGAGTTGAGTCATCATTTCTTTTTCTTGGTTGATGCCAAACGGTCCACACAATGTGTTGATAGTCTCGAGTCTCGACCCCGATTAATAAAATATCATTCAGTCAAAGTCAAACCATTTATTTTATTATTAGAAAATTATTGAAACATTTCTTTTTTGTTTGATAATCTTCAAACCATTACACAACTTTAACATCAAAAATAACTAAATAGGTATATTACTTTTTGTGCAACTTAATCATATAGAATTTCAAAAATAACAATAATGTTATAAAGTGTATTATTGGACAATTATAATCAAAATAAAATTTTCATAAATAATTAATTTTAAGTATGTGTTTTAAATATTTAAAAAATATTAAATTTTAAAATACCGTTTGATACATAAAATTTAAATTTAAGATATATCATAATTTAATATCAATTTTAACTGTTATATAACATGTAAGACATATATAATAGCACTATACAAATAATAAACTGAAAATGCATCAAATTCAAAGTTCAAAAGTTGAAACATCCATGTATAAAAGTAAAAGTTCAACAACAATGATGGTGTTAATGAACACTATAACATTATATTTGGTATTTTAATATCCACTTTTTATGTGGCAATTGTGTTGAACCGGAACACTTTTGCATCAAATATGGTTTTTAAAATGAAATGTGGTGTGAGATAAGGATGTTCTATCGCTATTATAAGTTTTATTTTTAAATAAATATATGTATAATCCATATTCTAATAATGTCAACCTATTAATTTTCCATTTTAAATTTTAAATTTGAAATTTCTCACTCTAATTACATTAAAATTAATAATTGATTTTTCATTTCAAATTTTAAATTCCATACTCTAATTACATCAAATTAATAACATTACAATAAAAAATAAAATAAATATATACTATAAGGTGATATAATTTCATGTATTTATTTAAATCAATGATTATAATTTTATATAACTAAAAAATATCTCTTAATTAATAATTTATTTAAAATAATTTATTTGAAATAATTGATTAAAAATTTTAAGTTTTTACTATGAAATTTTAATTAATTTTATAATCATAGTTCTCACGGGTTATAAACTAGTATATAATAAAAAAAAATTGGGTCATGTGCAACTGTCCATTTTATCCCCTCAACGCCCTCATGTTTACAACTTGCACCAAGTAATTTTAATAACGGGCCATAAAGTCAACACAAATTTGACTGGGTTGCTAACAGTTTTCTATTTTTTAAATAAGTTTTCGAAAACTATATTATTCAAATATTATTATTCAAAAGTCATTTCGAGCTGCTACACACTCGAGAAACTAAGAACCCAAATGAAGTTACAAAAATTTAACGGTTGTTTGAATATAAAAAACACTATATACTTCTTAAATAATATTTTTGGCAATATAATAATATGATATGTAGTATCATTTCATAGATACCGACATTATAATTTTACGATTTAGTTTGTTGAATAAGTTTTTGGTTTGTAGACAAATACATGACATATACCAAGCACTCGGTAAATTGATAAATTATAAACGACTTCAATCTTTGTTTTTAAGAGGGACGATCAAGTCCGTAAATATATATGAAACTTAATCGTAAATTAATCATTGTGCATGCATTTAATACTGATTTAACGGTGTTAATTAAAAAAACCAATAATGTAAGATTTGAAAATTATAAAGACAAGTGATATGGCGTTTTGTAATATTGTCATGAAGTTGCTATTTTTTTTGAAAATCACGAGTACCATTATTGAAATTTATCTAAATTAATTTTTTTTTTAACGGCAAATATACTAAACCATACTTAAATTATTCCACCTATGTGCACTGCCGGACTTGAACCCTCAACTTCAAGAAAAGAGGGCAACACCGGATACCGTTGAGTTAAACGAAAATTTAAAAATTATGCAATTTCTTCTATCAAACTTTATTCTAATTTAACATGTGGTGGTATTACTCAATTTTTTATATACCATTCTCACCCCTAATAATTATTGTTTTTATGGTTAGAAATTATATTGTATTTAAAAAATAATAAATATATTTTTTCAAAGAATGTTTTTGAAATGTTTTATAGATATGAATGTGAGAAAATTTGAAATATGAGTTGTTTTTCTGAAGAAATATAATAGTTTTTATGAAGTTTTGCGTATATGTAATTCGACATCTTCCAGATTGTATATTTTATCAAAATGGCTTTTTAACTTTAGTCCATCTGAAAATGAATGCAACATTTAATATATTTACAAGAATGATGACAAAAAATAAAACTTACAATAAAATCAAATACTACATTATATTAAAAGTATTAATCCTGCGTAACAAAAAACAATATCCAAAGAAAAAACATTCTAATATCTCGTAATATATGGTAGATAACAAATGTGATTTGCCAAATCGAACCAACTAGAAACGAATCTGCTTATTCAGCGGATGAGCCGACGCATATTCAACCGGCGGGATCACCAATAACATAAGAAGCGCCAGAATCCCCACCGGAAAGAACATCAACATCATCGGCGGTGGCGGCAATGGCGGAAGCATTGGCGGCACAACCAGAAGCGACGCGGTTACGATAATAAGTAAGCCCACCAACTTCATATCGAGTCTCTTCTTCTGTATCTCTCGCTTTTCCGTTCATAAACTTTGAGTTTTGGCCTCCGTTTCTCAGAGATCCTGCTTCTCGAACAATAGTTTTAAGCTTCTATTAATGGAGAAGCGACCATGGTTATTTAAACAGTTGCAAAGATGAGTGAGGAATCAGAAGAGAATCAAAATGTTGATAACATCAAATCCCGATGCGATACGTCGTGCAGAAGATCTGTCTACCAAATCATCCTCTTTTTTTAATCTTTTTTTCTATTTGCAAATCTTATTATAATATAATATGTAAATATATCATACACTGCACCTTCAAAAAATTCAAATATGGTAAGATTTTGTCTGCGATCATCGGTTTCTAAAACTTATAATGTTGCAGAAACTTTCTGTCACTTTAAAGTTTAAACACTTGATCACGTCATAAAACCAATAACATTTTAAGATATTTTGTTTTATAAAAATTAGTTTAGAATTAATCAGGTTTAAGATAATCGTAGCCATATGTTTTGCTTTCGTCAAGATATATAATAAGTTTGTTAGTAGCAATAAAAACTATAATATAGAAAACAGTTAAGTTTTAAAAAACATGATGACATATAAACAAGAAAACGGTCATGTTCTAGAAGATTGTCAATCATAATGTAAAAACTCTAAGTACTATAAAACTAATCGTATTCTAATATAAAAATCTCAGTATAACTTGTTTTTGAAAAAAAATTTAGATATACATGAAAAAGAAGATGTAAAAAATTGTAAAAGAGATAAGTAATTTTTTTTATAAAACATACTATTTGTTAAAAATAAAGTTCTAAAAAGGATATAATAAAAAAACATAAAAAAAACGTAAAATAAGTTGAAATGTTTGGACTAAATCTATAATCAAAATTAAAACTTGGGCTATATTTATAAAAAGAAATTGTAAAATTGTAAAATTGTAAAATGGGATTAGGTTAAATTTGTAACCAAAACTAAGACCTTAGCTAAAGTTGTGAACTTAGATTAATGAGATAGATTTGCGCCAGACACGTTTTGCATCCCGCATGATGTTGTGAAAATTGTATGTACGATAGATAGATAAAACGTAACTTATATTAGATTATGTTTAACTATATATAAGACTGTACTACTAATTTTTAAAAACAAATATATAGAATAAAAAAGACTTCTTATATGTTTTTACAACTCTAAATACATGAAACGAAATATATAAAATGAAATTGGAAAATATATTTGTGAAAAAACTCAACAAAATCTTGATTTCTGGAATAAAATCTTGGGTTTCTGGAATAAAATCTTGGGTTTCTGGTGATGAACCCAAAAAAATCAAAACCCATATTTCTTGAGGCATGAAGATCTTGTTCAAAATTGGTTTTTGGGTTTCTGGAGCCATGAAGATCTTGAACACACTCATATCTGCTTATCATTCATTTTTTATTTCTAAGTTTCATCCCAGAAAAACCCAAAAAAAGGATTTCATGGGTTTCATCCCTATCACAATTTAGGGGTTTGTTTTAGGTTACAAAATTGGTTTTTGGGTTTGTTTTAGGCTCAAAATCAAAAATGCAAGCTTAAAACGACTTCTAGTTTTGTTCTCAAACACACATTTCTAGGTTTGTTTGGCCAACTAACAGTCATATTGGTATTTTTTTTTTAACAACAATAATTAGAGTTTAATGGTACATCACATCCAGAAAAACTGTCGGTGTTTACATGAGTCAAAATGCATTACCCAATTTTTTATAGATGAGGATGGATGGACTGTTTAGACGTGCATTCTTTAATCTTCCAAATTTAAAAAGCAGAATTTTCAAGAGGTTTTAAAACCTGATAATGACGTCAATTTTGGAAATTGACATTTTACATACATATGTATACATGTATACACATGAGTGTGCATATAAACATGTATATATGTATGTATCCACATCAGTACATATATGCACTACAGATAAACATGTACACACATAACAACGCATAGACACAGATTCATCAACATCTATACATATATATGCATAACATGTATACATCTAATCATATATGTATCTGTTTTTTTATGATCAATTTTCTTGATTCAAATATGATGATTCCATAACTCATATACAAGAATGCCTTTTTTTCTGGCTATCCAGACCTAATACAAATACAAAACCAGTCCAACTCAAACTAATTTAACCAACATAACAAATCTAAAGAAAGTTCAGCCACATTTTTTTTTCCTTTTTTCTTTTTTACTTTTTTTTTTTTTTCCTTTTTTCTATTTTCCCTCTATCCTACATACAGAACTAAATATAACAGATGCTAAAATTAAAAGCAAAACAAAGTGATGGAAAAGAAATCTAACATTTGTCAACGACTCAGCATCTCCGAGATGAATTATCTTATCCTTCATATTTTCAACTCATCAGCATTTGCTGCTTTCTCTTTTTGGACTGAATGAGCACACTGAGTAAGAAAAAATGACCATTTTACCCTTTTGTAGGACCTGATGCTGAATATATATATATATATATATATATATATAT